TCAAAACTGCTCTGGGACATTTATTTAGTTTTATGAATAGTTCATGAATCGGTCACTTTAACAGCCTACAAGCTCACTCTACTGTTTATTGCATTATATTTTGCACTACTGTTATGATCAACTCGTCCTGTTTATTCTTTATTCTGGTAATTCTGGTATTGTCATTTCCACTTAATCACCTCATCAGTACATAACTGTGACTATATAGAACCGGTATGCACACCTTCACTTTACTAAGTTTCTCAGGTTTATACTTTATATTGCACTATTGTTTACTCTGGCCTTGCACATCCATTATCTACCTCTCATCATGTTATTGTCTTCAGTCAGCGTCCCTTTGTCTCCTGTTAGTCACTATTGAGCACGTTGCATCAGAGGTCCTGCTGCTGTTCACTTTTATATTTTTTTATATTTTTTTATATAACTAGTTGTGTTAGTTTATTTTTGCTAATGTTGTTGTTTGCTGCAAATTGAGTAGGAGTGTAACGCAATTTCAATTTCTATGTATGTCCTGTACATATGCAGAATTGACAATAAAAATCAATCAATCAATCACACGGATGATAAATGACAATTATTTAAAAAAACTGGCACAAATATGCCAATTTTAATTCCTAAAGTGTACTCAGGCAGATTAAATCATTAACTTTGGGCCGGCTACACATGACAATAGGCCTGGATTTTCACAAAACACTTAAAACATTATTTTACATTTATAGTGTTTGGCGTATATCTTCAGATCCTTGTACACTGTTTCCTTTTATCCTTTATATTTTTGCTATTTTTGGGTGTAACTGGGACCTTGGGTACAGTTTCATTCCACACCGTGTACCACATGTGATGCGAATGACAATAAAGAACCTTGAACTTTGAACACGCTACTTGCTCACCCTCAGAATTCAGTGTTTGATCATTTCTCAAAATTCTGAGTCTCCAGCTACACTAAGGTTCAGGCCTCCCTTGCAAAAAGATGTGATCTCAATGGGGTTTGCCTGCTAAAATAAAGGTAAATATCCTCCAACTATTGCAGCCCAGAGAGATTCCACCTTAAATCAGACTGGACTGAAAAGCTGACATCTCATCCAAGTGAGGCAAAGACTGCATTCTAAATCTTTACTCTGCAGACAGTGTTGCTTTTTGTAGTTATTCTATATATTCCTGTTCTAAGATGCACTGGAAGTGCTGCAGCTAGCTGCTACTGCTATTTGCACTTGCAAGTAACCACAGCATTTTGTGTAAATACTCATGTACAGCTAAACTGACGGCAAGGCAAAGGTTTTTATAAAGCACCGTTTTCAGGAACTGACGTGAAACGTTTGCGTGTGGGATCGTAGGATGAGAACTCTGGGACCTGCAGCCAGAGGAACTTGAGACTTACTCAACACCTTGGACCTTCTGAGTATCGGGATCTAAAACCCGGATCACTTTAGACCACTAGGTTTATGTTTAAATTCAGCACCGGATTCAGAAAGACCAAATAACTCAACCATTTTGGTCATGTTGCAGTTTTTGGTAACCATTTAGGAAACAGACATTTGGAAATTAAAGCACGACTGTCGAGCTTTGGGTTTAGTTTTTATTTTAACCAAACCATTTGCAAATCGATCGTTTTACATTATTTTATTTATGGTTATTCAAATGATATGCACCATTTACAGACATGTTACTCAATAACTCAAAAGGTTTTCAGTCTCTCGGTTCTTTGTCATGAAGTTTATTACAATGTGCATGTGCAAATTAAACTAAAGTTGTCAAACAACGAAGTAGCAACTTACAAATCTATACCCGTGAGTGCATTTAGCTCATTCTTTTTTAGACGAAGGTAGAAACTTTCTTCACATTATTTCAAGAAACTAAAAGGATGTTTGTGTTTTAAAGACAGAGAAAATGTACAGAAGCCTGCAGAACGAACAGTTTCAATAAAAGTGTGAGCAAAGAGCTCACCGTCTGTTTTGTCCTGTTGGTGCTCAGAGCTCTTTGTTTAATGAGGATGATATAAGATGCATCCCAGGCAGACTCACTGGAATAAGAACGACTAGCAGAAGCAGCGACGTGATGCAGTCAGAAACAAACAAGGGCGCTGTGGACTGCTTAGAAGTTGTAGTTCACATCTGTGGAGGTGGGGTTCTGTGAAACGTTGGGAATAACTAATATTTCACCGGATCCCAAACATGTCAGGGTCTGACCCACAGATTGACACTAGCAGAGGCCCGTGACCCTGACTAACATGGTCGATCAATTAAACAGGAACATAATGACAATTTCACGGTTTTTATTCATTTGCAGGCACACACTCGTGTATCAGGACAGCAAATAAATAAATGTAATTATTCCTGCTAATTATTTCAAGATCCTGTTTTTGTGTTTCAGGACCCATGGGGTCCCAACTCCATGTTTGGAAACAGTTGTTGTAGATTTGATCAATTTTAGTTTAAAAACAGTTTAACACTGACGAGCTAATGGCTAGCCATCTTGACTTTTAAAACTTTCCTAGTGGATGCTGTAAATTTCACATTAAATAGTTTATTATTTCAAATTTGATGGTTGTGAGTACGACTTGCAGCAGCAGCTAGCTGTGGCATTATTTTGGTGCAGCTACAGCAAGATTATAATATTTTTGTTCAAATAAACATATAATTCAGAACTGAGAGTGTTGTAAAGCTTTACTTACAGCCCACTCAAACCTGTCGTTAGCTCAGTCATCCAAAGAGCTATCTACAACAGGTTAGATATTAATTGTTTATAACCTTTCAACAGAACGCCACTTCAGAAGATCTGAACCATCTCTTTAAGGCCCATCATTACATTCCAGTTGGACATTTTTGTTCATGTTGCATAGCTGACACAAGCATTTTATAAACTGTTCACATGAATCAAAGGAAACTGGGACCAGCACAGAAAACAATATTTATCTGATATGTGCTTCTCATGTTTTCTTAACATGGTACTGGTTGGTCCAAAGGTTTCTACTTAACTAAACACACATTTCTGTCTTTATAAACAAAATGTTCTCTCTGTTAACCTTTACTTCACATCTCATTTGAATGATTTATGGTACGTTACTGTAACTATGTGTGTTTGTCGAGGATAAAAAGACAAAAATAAAAGAAGAACATCTTCTTGAGGTGCATGTGATGCTGCAGCTCCTGGTCTTTTCATCAGGAGTGACAGCTGAACCTTCAGCTTTGGAAGTCTTAAACCAGTATCTCACTGGTATGTGTCCTGGTAGTCCCCGTTCCCGTAGTGTTGCTCCTCCTCACCCTCCTGCCCAGTCGCTCCTCTCTTCTTCTTCCAGCCGTGCTTCTGACCGTACGAGCCGTCCGTTGTTCCGTAGCTCTTTTTGGGAGCCAACGCGATCTCGTTGGTGAGCTCCGATTCCTCGGCCAGCTCGTCCTCGTCAATGATGCCACATTTATCCTCGCTCAGGCCCTCAGGGTTGGCCCAGTCCTGCAGCTCGCCCGACGCGAAGATGGCGTAGAAGATGACCCCTGAGTAGTGCACCATGGATGCAATCACGAAGACGTTCTGCCACTCCAGGCGAGTCTGCGGAGAGACAAACAGAGTCGGTAGATTCTCTGTCAGAGGCGATCTGACTGATCGTTCTGTGCTGCTGAGTTCAAACCTCAGCATCGCTTAAAGCGCTGAAACAGCTACAGAATTCATTTTACTACACGATAAATTATGAATAAAAATATAAAATAAATTATGAATAGAAGATATAGCTGCTGTTCAAGTGTCTGCAAAAATCAGTCATTTAAACAGCTAAATCCAGAGGAGGACGCTGAAGGTGAATTTCGTGTGAAAATTTAGAATCTGATATAGTTTTTATAGTTTCTGTGGTGTGTTAGTGCTGTCTACTGTGTCTACTGGATGGCTCAAATTCATGCCTGGGGATTAATAAAGTGTCTATCTATCTGTTACTTATGAAGTAAGGTAAGTTTTTACAAAAATAGGAGTGATGTGCATGAAATAATATGTAGCTAACTTTATTTAAACTGTTCTTTTTTCTATGCTCATTTTTTATTTGACAGCTCTATAAAAATAGTTGAAAATGCTCGTCGTTGTGGCAGTTCATCGTTTCTGTTGACCCAGAAGACACGGCATTCACAAACCAAACGAGTACTTCCAGTGGTACATACTCCCGTTAGTTAATTCTCAGAGGAATCAAAATCTAAAACATAAGTTCTCTCACACAACAAACCTGAATGTGTCTATAAAGTAAACACATGACTGTGAAAGGGTGAAAGGTCAGTTCGACTGATAATGAGCATGAACTTTGTTGATCTTGTCCACGGTGTAAATCGACAAACAGTTTAATTAAAGGACATGAAACTGCAGCCATCTGTTAAATGTGAAGAACTCACCTGTTGATGACTACCTGCTGATCCAAATTATTTTAAGATTATAGTACTTGAGGTCTTGACAGAAAAAGGATCCAGTGTGGAGCCACAGTCTGATTACATTTTCTATCCTAAACATTAGAGGAGTTGCATCATGGACAACTTACTGTGTACTGTCTTATGGATGGACAGACTGGCACAATCTAGGGGATAACATTTCTATGTTTGTATATCAAGCTGGAGCAGAAACAAGGTTTTACCAAAGGGGGTCACCTGTGACCTTGACCTTTGACCTTGACATCAGTAGAGATCACCCTTGACCCATGAGGTGTCCAGCTGTGCAGTTTGACATTTCTCTGTTAAAGGGTTATAAGTTTAGAGCTTGGACAAGATATCGTCTGCGGATGGACGGTGAAAAGCCGTAATATGTCTCGTCTCCTGACTGACACATTAAAATGGATAGCAGTCAGTTTTACAGATATTGAGCTAAAAAGCAGGTTAAAGCTGCAGGCTGTGCTTCAGGGGAGTCCAGAGCTCCTTGAGGGCCACTCTCCTGCATGTTTGAAATGTTTTTCTGCTCCAACACCTGATTTGAACCAATGGGTGACCACCAGGCTTCTGCAGAGCCTGAAGAGGTGATTCACCTGTTGAATCAGGTGAGCTGGGCAGGGAAACAAGTGAAAGGTGGAGGATAGTGGCCCCTGAGGGCCAAGAATGGACACCCCTGTAAGTGTTGCTCCACCTGTTATCTCAACCTTCAAATAGTTTGATGTTGAAAAAACAGATTGTCAGAGCTTCACCAAGCTCAAATATCACAGTTACACAGGTTTTTGTTGTCTTTATATTCAATAATTTTACTTTTTTTATCTTTTACTGCAAAACTGATAATATATGAAATATATTCTTTCATTCTCGCCACATAAGTTAAGGAGCAACATTTGTAAATAAATGGTGTGTAGCTGATTGCAGTTTTAAACAATGTCCAAAGTTCTGTGGGAACAAACATTTTACACCCATACATATTTAAATAAAAACTATTTTTACCTTGTGTTTAGTCAAAGCTCCGACGATCAGGGGACACACCATTCCAGACAGCGTTCCGACCCCGTTGGAAATGCCCATCAGGATGCTGGCATAGCGAGGAGCAATGTCCAGATGATTCACATTAAAACCTAAAGACAATAAACACAGTTCGATTAGTTTAAAATAAACACAATGATACCAAAAAATAAGCTTTTCCAGTTACGTGAGCATATTTTATACACATTTTACATTTTATCATTGACTTGACAACGGTCTATAAAACATTCAGTACATTTCTCCGTGAAGATTGTGCAAGTTAATTCAAAATACAAAATCTGAGTTTCTGTTTCTGTGCAGATGAAAGTTTTTCACTTTGGCCGAGCTTTAAAATCACCTGAAATGGCAAATCCACTAAAGCCCACAGCGAGAACAAGGAAAGAAATGGCGACTCCTCGAGTGTGAGAAAATCCAACCACCAACAGCAGAGAGGCCTCCATACCAAACCCTGAAGAGGAGCGATAATGAAGGTGAAATGTCTTCATAAAATATCTACCAATAGCTTTCTAAACTACAAACTAAATGAAAAAAAAAAAAAAAGTTAAATTAGGACGGATTCCCTCAAATTACAGAAACATGAGATAATCTAATCTAAAACAGGTCTGAGTAGATCCATTTAAAGGCTCTTAGATTTACCTTTCACTCATTAAAAATAAATCACATCATCATCACAGTTCTGAACGATGATTGAAGCTGTTTGTCCTCACTTGGACCTCACTGCACCAACTGTTTTCATCCTGAGACGTCCTCCACCCACCGTACCTCCACAGTTCATCATCTTCCTCACGTTGGTCGTAGACATGATTTTTTTGCTTCGTAAAAAGTCTGCCAGCTGTCCTCCGATAGGGACCACGATGGTCATCACCATGTGGGGGACAGCAGACAGGAGTCCCACCTGGAAACAGTTCAGGGGGGACGTTTTAAAGACAAACTCATGTCCACCACTCTGTATTGAAGCTAAAGAAGAAAAGCAACGATCAGAAAATTATTTAGATTTATTTGGACACTACAACAAACTTCATATGTGGTCAGATGGAAAAATGTAATTGTGTTTTAAAAATAAAAAAAAAACACTCATTTTGAGTTTGATGAAAGCAAAGAAAGAAATAATAAGCTAATTAGAATAATTTAGTCAAGATAAACAAGAGTGACATAGACTTGTTTAGAAGTGAAATAGTGAAGAGGATCAATAATTTATTCACATAAATAAACTCTGACAGATCATTAAAAAAGTCAGTTTTCCTTCTACTGCTGATTACGAACACTGCATCCTCAAACGTTTCGGTTTATAAGTTTTATTTTTTTTATCCTGCATGAACAAACAGACCTCTTCCTGCAGTCCAGACCCGTGTCTCTCAAAAACTCATGGAAAGTTTTAAAACATTAAAACAAAAGTGAAATGTTAAGAAGTTAACAAAATAGTTTGTCTAGTGCTATATTCAGCTTTAATTCCTTTAGCTTTTAGCTAGTTTTCTGTTCCTTTTACCTTTCACTTGCATAGTTTTGGGTTTTAGCTACCATTCTGCTACTTTTAGCTTGCCTTTTGCCACTTTTATCTTTTATTTTACCTTTTGTTACATTTGAGTTTTAGCTAGCCTTTTGCCACTGTTAGCTAGTGTTCTGCTACTTTTAGCCTTTAGCTCATGTTTAGCTACTTCAACAAGTGATTTTCCACTTTTAGCTTTTAATTAGTCTTTTGTTACTTAGCTTTCACTTTCATAGTTTTGTATTTTAGCTACCATTCTGCCATTTTAGCTTGCCTTTTGCTACTTTTATCTTTTACTTTACCTTTGGTCACATTTGAGTTTTTGCTACCCTTTTGCCACAGTTAGCTAGTGTTTTGCTACTTTTAGCCTTAAGCTCATGTTTAGCTGCTTCAACAAGTGCTTTGCCACTTTTAGTTTTAGCTAGTGTTTGCCTCGTTTGGCTTCAACAACTTGGTTTCAGTTTCTTCAGCAATTTTCAGCCAGATTTGAGTCGTTCAGCGCCACACAATGTTTTCAGAAAATGAAACGTTTCTCTAATTTACAACCACTGATGTGTTTTAAGTCTTTGGTTTTACAAAGAAGTTGATTTTCTAACGAATGTGTTATTATTTTTACTCAATTTTCTGAGTGTTAGTTGTGAGAAAATATCATTTCTGAAGAAATGACTCGCTTCAGTGAAAGTGTGAGGTGAACCTTGCTGATGGGGAAGCCGAACACCTCCTCAAAATACGCCGGCTGGCTGATGAGAAGCAGGTAGAAGGTCCAGCTGCGGCAGAAGTTCGCCACAATGATGGCGTAGACGGGCATGGATGTAAAGAAGCGATGCCACGGGGTCTTGAATTTCTGGAGTTGAAGGACAAAAACTGTGTGACAGATTCTGACTGAAGGCCGTGAAACTGACTCGTCAGCTTGTTGAAGACGCACACCTCAGTAACGCTCAATTGATGAATCGTTTCACCGATGGCGGACTCGATGTATAACCTCTCCTCGTCTGTGATTGTGGGATGTGCAGCAGGACTTCCGTAGGCTAGCAGGAGCCAGAAGATGTACCAAATGATCCCAAAAACTCCTTTTCACAAGACAAGCAAAGCAGAAATCATTCGTTCACATGTGAAGTTGGATGTGTATTTGCAGCAAACACATTTTAAGGCATTAAAAAGGAACTTGAGTGCAGGACAAATTAATTAAAGCCAGCACAGATCTTCTCCAGATCACCAGAATCTCTGTTATTAAAAATGGAGCCAGCATGACTCACAGGGGTAAGACAGGTAAATGCTAATTTACATCAATAAATCATGAGATTGTATCGCTGCAAAATCAGAGGGGCTTTTTATTAAAACATGCTTGCCAAGATACAAATTTTGCACGACTGCCGATAAGTTTAATCAAACTCTAAAGCAATTCAGATAAACCTAAGAGTGCAAAGTACAACAGCCAGAGAGCAACGTCAGCCAAAGAGTATGAAAACTCATTTATACAACATTAAGTTGTATTTTTTTTGTAATAACCTTCATAAAAAGGCTGAAAGTGTTATTGCAATTACACCAAATTTATCATTCTAACTACCAGACTCAATAATGCCCAAATAATATTTTAAACGCAACTCCTTTAGATGCTTAAATTGGTCAGTATCAATGTTAATAATCAAATAAAACTTGGAGGGTAGCTTGGATGTTTGGAAGTGTTTTTGAGGAAAAAGTATGAACAATATTATCTTACCCGCTGTAGATAATTCTTTGAATTACCTCAGTTTAGAGGAACAAAGTTAAACTCTGAGTGGATTGATGATGGCTTGTCAGTGAGGCACAAAATCCAGAGTAGACTGCTGCCATCAGGACACAACTCCAGTTTCATACATATACGATAGTGGTTTGTGTTAACACTATTAAAATAAAACTTTACATTGTCAGTAAAGTTGGATTTAGTGGTTATTCCTGCAGGATCTAGACAGAAGTACCACATCTGTATTAGAAGAGCTACAGCTACTGCTGCTATATAATACGAACCAGGGATTTTATGTAAATAATTTAATGCTAAATTTATGTCAGTCTGATTGTTTAAAAATCTTTTGCTCAAATGTTTGAGAATGTAGTTGTTTTAAAATGCCAGCAGTTCATTTTGAGCTTGGTTTTGGATATTTTTAATGTGTTAATCTGGCCAGAATTAAACTATTTCTGCAGACTGAGGTCAATCAAAGAGCTATCTGCAACAGGTAGGATGTTATGTATTCATAATATCTACAGAACGCCAGTTTAAAAGGTCTAAACTAGAGCTTTAAGTAATTCTGCACTTATCAGTGTTGGACTGATTATTAACTTGTTAACGAACGAAGGAATCAGCAGAAAGTTAAGGGGTCTAAATGTTTCTTTTTAGTTCTTATTGAGCTGAAGGGTCAGTGGCTTACCATAAATATAGAAGACTGACGACCAGCCAACAAACTGAACCAGAACTCCTGCTAAGGGCATGGCAATGACCGCTCCTGCATAGGACCCTGCAAACATCACAAAACAGTCTTTTCAAAAGCTTTAAAAAGCAAGCAGCTATAATCTTACATTAGCAACACTACAGAGTTCAAATGTGTCTTACTAAGTGAAAACAAATCAAAGAAATGCATTAATGTCATTGAACAAACACTGTCAAAATGAGTCATTAGTGGAGCCAGGAGGTGTTTTAGCACGCACTCTTGTCTGTTGGCTTAACGAGCATCGCTGTTTTCAATAGAGCAGCGAGCGCAAGAGTGTTTTTGGACAGTAAGCAATGTGACGCTTCATTTAGGAGAATGGAGGGAGAAGCTCATTCAGACTACACAGGTGAGCTGGGTTTATTAACAGGCAATGTCAAGAGGGTTTTGATGCACGGGTTGTCATGGTACCAGCATAAAGTGCAAGACGGTTATTTTCATTTGAACAGAGGCAGCAGCGGTCGAGAGCTGCAAAGAAAAACGAGCTCCTCGTGCCTCTCGTGCATTTACTGACTTCTGTGTAAAAGATGTTTGTGTCAGAGAAACGTCCTGCACAGCGTTTGATAAATGACAGGAGGCAGCTCACCGCAGAACGATGTGGTGGCCAGTCGACTTCGTTCGAGAGGTGGTGCCCACTTGGACCACATCCCGTGGCATGCTGGGTAGGTGACCCCCTGTCAGGGATGGAGGAGGACAAGGTTAAAGATTGACTTTGAGACAGACCTGGAGTTCAAAGGGGAAGCACTTTAAATAAGCAGTTTGACTCAAAAATCTGCTCATCTATCTCCTCTAACATAATCCATTACTGTATTATTTCTTATTTGCGTCACAGTCCACATGTTTTATGTCTGGATTTTTTTCTTGGTTTATCGTTTTCTCTTGCCATGTTTTATGATAACTTAGTTTATTTGGCTTCCGCTCTCTCCACAGACCCAGTCCTAATTTGTAAATCAGTACGCCTGCATTCTGTTGGTTCTTTTGCTCCCCGAGTATATTTACAGCCAAGATTCATTCGTTCACTTCCAGACCCACTACACTCTCATTGTGTTAGTGTAGTCAGTATTTGTTGTTGCTTTGCTTCCATGTGTACCTGATGTTATTTTGTTTCTTTATTTTTAACCCTCCTGCTGTCGTTGGGTCAAAATGACCCACTAGACATCAGTCCTAAAACCGAGGCGCCATAGTTCATTTGGACCCAAAGGCAGTAGGAGAGTTAAAAATAGCTTTATTGCTATTTTAGATAATCTTGTGTATGATTCTTGTTTGTTTGTAAATTTTATTTTATGTAGTCCTTTAATCTGATTAAAGTGCTTTGTGTTACACACTGCTGTATAAAAATCTTTTATAAAGTTTGATCATCACGAGTTTGGGTTGAATACCTAATTTGTCTTAATCATGTCATGTTATCACACCGTGGGTACTCCTTCAGGCATCAGTAATCTTAGAGTAAGCATTTTATGTTGCAGGTTTATGGATGGGGCAGCACGGTGGCGCAGTTGGTAGAGCTGCTACCACTCAGCGAGCAGGTCACCCTGATTTAAATCCCAGCCCGGGAGCCTTCTGGTTGGAGTTTGCATGTTCTCTCCGTGCAATGCGTGGGTTTTCTACGGGTAATCCGGTTTCCTCCCACAGACTAAAAACATGCATGTTAGGCTGATTGGTAACTCTAAATTGTCCCTAGGTGTGAGTGAGAGAGTGAATGGTTGTTTGTCTCTGTAGTGTCCCTTTGATGGACTGGAGACCTGTCCACGGTGTACCCTGCCTCTTGCACAGCGATGGTTGGATATGGGCACCAGTGACCCCTGCGACCCGAAAAGGAAGAAGCGGGTAAAGATAACGGATGGATGGATTAAATAAATAGTAGATTTAGTAATAATTTGCTCCAAAAACTAAAGTGCTGAAATGTGAACACAAAGGTCAATCAATGAGAGAAAATGGAAGTAACAATGTTTTATCACGTTTTATCTCTTACCTCCACTAATCCCTGTAGAATGCGCACAAACATAACACAACCATAGTGCACCCTTGCTGCCGATGGTATGAACATATTCAGCACTGACGTCAAGAAAATGGCCGCTCCAAACACCCTGTGTGAAATAAAATGTTATTTTTGTGCACAAATCAATTTAAAAGGCTTCAGTGAAAAAGATTTTTGCAGTTTGAAAAATACAATTCTTCTACAAAGACCAGGTTTAGAAACGTGATTAATGAGTTTTATACGCTAAAAGTGCTGGTCGGTAGGTAATGTTTGATTAGTACAGGGTCAGCTAGTGGTCGATGGTCGAATTTCAGCTTCAGGAGGATCAATATGGGTTCTGTCCCGGCTATGTAACACTGGACCAGCTCTTTATTCTCACTAGGGTCCTCAAAGGGGTATAGGGGTTTGCCCAACCAGCCTACATGTGTTTTGTGGATTTTATTTGGCGAAGGTATTTCATGGTGTCTCTTGAAGTACCGTGTGGGGGGTTCTCAGTGACTACGAGATTCGGGGTCAGTTGCTATGGGCCATTCAGTCCCTGTACAAGCAGTGCAAGAATTTGGGTTGCATTGCTGGCACAGCCTGGCAGTAAGTTGGAGCCCTTCAGGACGGGAGTTGGACTCAGCCAGGGCTCCCCGTGGTCACTGATTCTGTTCAGAATTTTTATGGACAGAATTTCTTGGTGCAACCAGAGGGTAGAGGAAGTCCAGTTCAGTGGCCTCAGGTTTCGGTCTCTGTTATTTGTGGATGATGTGGTCCTGATGGTGTTATCTTGCCTTGATCTTCAGCTCTGTTCCATCCACCATGAACATAACACATTAAAGGAGGACACAAGACACACATAAGGGGGTTCAACATTCAATTTATTAAAAAGGCTGCTGCTTCCTGAAAAAAAAGGAAAAAAGATCAGGAACCCCCCAGTTCCCATGTCCACCAAAAGACACAAAAACCCAAAGTATCAGCTTAAAGATGGACCTAGTGACCCGGTCAAACAGAACAAAAAGATACCGCAGCAGGCCCACCCTATACAGGGCCGTCAAAGCCACTGCTGGTACCAGGCTAAAACTAGAAGAAAAAAAAAAAACTACAAAAACACCTATTACAAAAGAAAAGGGCTAAAGCAGGACAACCGGTCCCACCAGGCCAAAGTTACAAAAAATATACAAAAAGTTAACAAAAATTACCTGTGGTGGCTGAGGCCGCCGAGAGCAGGCCACAGCTCCAGGACAAAGAAAAAACAAGGGCCCCAGGAAAACCAGGGCAGCCCCAAAAAAAGGGTCCAAACAAAAAATGGCCCAAAAGGGAGAGAGCTTCTGAAAGGCCAAAAATGTGGGAGCATGAGCGAGTTCACAAACAGAGTGAGCCTGAGAGGGCGAGCTCCCTGAAACCAGCCAATTTATGGGTGGGCAGAAAAGACCATAGCCCAAAACAATTAAAGGTTAATCAGCCAGCCCAAAAACCCAAGACATGTCCCAAGGACAAAATAATAAGACTAATGTGCCCCAGGCACATAACAAGCTCTCACTGGAGCGGTTTGCTGCAGAGTGTACAGCAGCTGGGGTGAGGATCAGCACCTCCAAATATGAGCCATGCAGTTGGAAAATAGTGTATTGTCTTCTCCTGGTTGGGAGTAAGGTGCTGCCTTAAATGGAGAAGTTCAAGTACCTCAGGGTACCCCCAGTCATGGACTGGGGGAACAATGGAGTGTGAGATCAACAGACAAATTTGTGCAGCTTCCACATTATTGCAGAATCTGTGCCGGTCCATTGTGGTGAAGAAGGAGTTGAACTGTAAGGTGAAGCTCTTTGTTTACGGGTCAGTCTACATTCCTATCGAAATGGTTGAATGAGTTTTCTCTGCAGGGTACCTGGACTCTCTCTTAGAGATAGGGTGAGAAGTTCAAATATCCAGGAGAGACTCAAGAGCCCTCCACATTGAGAGATGCCAGTTGAGGTGGTTTGGGCATCTGGTAAGGATGCCCCATGACACCTCCCTAGAGAGGTTTGTGTCCAACTGGGAGGAGACCTAAAGGGGAAGACCCAGGAAACACTGGATATGCTTTGGAATCCTCCCAGAAAAGCTGGAGGAGGTGGATGTGGAAAGAGACGTCTGCACTTTCCTCCTCAAGCTGCTGCTCCTGCAACCTGACTCTGGAGCAAGTGGAGCATAATAAATGGATGGATGGAGGGTCAGCTAGCCATTTCCCACCAGTTTCAATTATTTCAGCTCGAGCTTTCTGTTTTAGTGACACATTTTTTTATACAGAGACTTTTGTTTAAAAATCGGTAACCAAGCAACTGAGAAAGTTATCCCACAATTCAACGTTAAAGCATCAACTTGTAATAATTTCACAAGATTGCTAGCCTAAATAAGCTAACAGTCATCTAAAGGAGTTACTTAACTAACTACCTTTATGTTCATGCATCTGAAAAGGCAAGTTAGTATATTAGATATGTTTTATTCCACACTTTAAAAATAACAAAAATAAAATTAAAATGTAAAAGTAAAAGTAAAGCTTCCAGTTAGTGTAGCATTGAACTGTCCAAATCTTTTTGGTGCTAAGAACTGCTAACTGGTGAGTGAAAGCTGTCGTATGGATGTGTAATATTTGCAGACAATAAATCTCTACATCAATGACAGTTAATGTCTCTCAGTCAGCCTGAATATCACACAGATCTCACTTCTCCGTCATTCACTGTGAGATAAAGACATCCTGCTGAATTCATAACTTTCTGCTTCATCACAACCTTCCCTTTTCTCCCACACCTGAAACCCCCTTCCCTCCCTTTTTCCAAAACAGCGTGTAACTGACACTTGTAATATTCCAGTGGCTGGTGTTTCAAAAAGAAATCAGAGGCAGGATCTTTCATTATTAACTCTGTCAGTGGCATGTCCCTTTTCTTCCTGTGAAGCTTTTATTACAGGACTGTAATCTGCTCTATCAGTAACGCTCACCACATCCAACAGCTTTAACCCTTTAACCGCAAAGCCCGAGAAGGTGTTCTCCCAAAAGTATTTTGTCTTAATTTGTTGAGTTTCTGTGTATTTTTATCCATTTTTGTCCTAGTAAAGTATTAAAACCTCTAAATCTGCAATTCATTATGATAGCATGGTTAGCCAAAACACTGAACCCAGCCAGCCTCATTCTAGTGAGGTTACAAGCAGGTCATGTCCATTACAGTACTGAGTGTGATGCACATCAGAGGGGATTCAGAAGCATGTATATTTCAAGACGATAAAATTAATAGGTCAGTATACTCTGTGTGGCTGCATAAACCCTACAAAAAGTATCTGGAGTTAAAAAGCTACACCATGAAGTTGTGCGTTTTATTTTTATTCATTTTATCTAACAGTTAAATGTCAAAGCTTGTCGGTGATTATAGGAGGACAAAAATTAAGTGTTACAACTGAATATGAGTAGACAACAAGTCAATGCTACCTGTTGGCAGACAGCTTGTTGGAGATGAATCCGCCTGGGATTTGAGTGACGATGTAGCCCCAAAAAAAGGATCCGTGAATCAGTCCCACAGTTTCTGGGTCCCAGTTAAACTGAGCTTTCTAGAAAAGGGAGAAAAGTGGGTTTAATGCAGAAGCCATGAAATATCAAGTATACAATTTTTTTTTTTTTTAGAGGGGGCAGGGGTTGCAACTTAATTTAGTCAGTAAGTGTTATCTTGCAAAACCATTCAGTTTTATATACACATGAAAATGTTTGATTACAGAGCATCTCGCAGGAGTTTGATTAGACTGTTGAATCCCAGTGAACAGCTACTTCTAGAGTCAGCATCAACCTTTAAGCTTTTTTTAAACAACAAATAAAATCATTATATATTATTTCTTCTCCTTTTTCTTTCAGCTGTTCCCTCTTCAGGGGTTGCCACAGTGAGTCATCCTCCTCCATCTCACTCTGTTCTCACTCCAACCACCTCCATGTCCTCTCCAACTACATCCATATACAGTATTTCCTCTTTATCCTTCCTCTTTGTTTTTTCCAGGCAGCTGCATTTCTAACATCCTTCTACCAATATACCCACTGTCCCTCCTCTGGATATGTCCAAACCATCTCAGTCTGGCCTCTCTAGCTTTATCTCCCAGTTTTTCAACTTGCGCTGTACCTCTGATGATCTCATTCCTAATCTTGTCACTCCTAAGGAGAACCTCAACATCTTCATTTCTGCTACTTCCAGTTCTTTCTCCTGTCTTCTTGTCAATTGCCACTGTCTCCAGACCATACAACACAGCTGGTCTTACTATTCACTTGTAAAGCTTTATAACAAATTGCCACAAATAGTTTGTGTAAGCTCAAAATAAGTCAATTTTGCAAATAAAATTAAAGTTGTGCTGCAATAAGAAATGCTTCGAGCAAGTTTTTATTTTTTTCTGCTTTCGTTGCACCCGTTTGTTTTTCTGGAGGACACATGCATGTGCAATGTCTCACAAACGTGACTAAACGACAAGTCCATCCACCAACCTGAAGCACTGGAGTCCCATTGATGTAGACGGTGTTGTTGTTCACCATCTCCACAATGGCCACACCCAGATTGCATCGAATGCCAAAAGAGATGCAGAAACCCAGGCCACTGAGGATGGCGATGATGTAGCGTTTAGGCAGACCGCCGCAGCTGCAGTCCAGTAAAGGGGCAGGACGTGGTGCTGATGCCACCGGACGACCGTCTTCTGTGAGCTCAATGTTGTCCTCGTCCTCAACGTTACTACCATCTATTTTCCTAAAGAGCATATATTACAAGTTAAGTTTAAATACATTTGTCTGCTTTCATTCAACCCATGTACAAGCACAAACACTTTTATCACCTTTGTGGATGGGATCAAAGGAGGTAAATGGATAAATACACATACTGAGCCACATTGTGCAGGGGAAACATGAGGAACCATCAAAAATGAACCTGTTCAACCCTCCCCTGCTCAAACCTGACAAGAAAACGCCTCCTCAACCAAGATAATAGGACAAATGAAGCAGCTTCATATTTTATAAGTGGTACATTTAATTCAACTTTTAGTTTATTAAGGATAAACTCATTCAAAAATAGCTCTTTAATACCTTTATTCCTTCCATTTAGGTGTGAAAAAATTAACAAAATTGCTCATCTGTAATGTGAATGATGCTAATTAAAATATCAGCTGTTTAAAATTGATCACTGCAGGTTTTTTAACCAATTTGTAAAAAAAAAAAACAGAAAATCTATTACAATACCTTGATAATAATAAAAGCCATTTAACCTCTGAAAATGTGATGTATGTCAAAACTGGAGCCCAATAAGCAGTTTTATCATAACTTTTTTTAAATTAACCTATATTTTAAATTTATTACTCAGGATTATTACACTATTTACATGCCTTTTTCATTCTGTCCCACACTTTGATCTGAAAAAAAAAATCCTTTTTTAAAAATTCGGAACCATAAAACAAGTTATTCTGTTAAATTTTATTACTAATATTAAAGACGTCTGCCAGCTGTGAAATAAAGTAAGTCACGTTTTACTCAATTTACACAATACCCTTTAGCTCTTTAATAAGTTTGAGGTCTTCCCTACATTTGCAGATACAGTTCTGTTAAATATGCATCAGATATGAATTATGTATGTGTCTTAAAATAAAATCTGTGATTACATCACTGGGATCACAAGCACAAGAATATATTATTTATCTATCTGCATGATACTTTGAGAATATTAATCTAAACATGAATAGAGAATTATTACTTCCATCCAGCATTAACACACTGCAGACGCTCATCCCCACCTTTGAACAAACCCTCTCACCTCTGCAGTTTTCCTAAAGAGTCCCCCACGGTGTTCTTCACCTCCTCCTTCCCAGGTTTGAGCACCTGGTTTTTCAAACCTGCCAAATCAAAAGGCATGTTTTCTTCTTTTCCCTTTTTATCCACAAACTGAGTCTTAACAGCTCATGGGTGCACCTCAGGTTTTTTTTTTAAAGGAAACAGAAATCCACTAAAGGCTGAATCTCATCCTTCCTGGATGTGTGGTACTTGGGGATTTGGCTCCACCTTTCAGCTGTTGCCAAGGGTCCCACAGAGGACTTCTCCAAGTTTTGGAGAAAAGATGTCAAGTGTCCCTCAGTATCCTAAATGCCGCAGAATCAGAACTTCTTCCATCCTTGAAAGATTCATCCAGCGCTGATGAAAAATGAAAGACAAAATGTAGGATCCAGGTTTTACCCTCGAGTCATTGTGGTCCCCTAAATCAGTCGCTCAGATCTCATGACTCATCTGATTTTGCTGAAGCGGAGGAGCAGGTGAAATATCCAAAAAATAAAAACCCAGCCCCTGGCTTTTAAACATCCTCTCCTCCGTCAGCTCCCCAGCTCCTCCCCTTCATCCAGTTAGATTCATTTGATAGTAGCCCTGAAGACGACCAAATGAAACATGCATGAGCTTGACATGTTGAGGAGAGGCAGGACGGCTGTGGAGTTAAATGAAACCAAAGACAGACCCACAGAGCTTGAGTCTTACACACTCATGCTACAGCATGCAGCTCTTATATATACATATATATATTTATTATAGTTCCATCCTTTATGAAGAACTGATGGAAACTACTTCTGCCTGCATGAAGCTGGAAACATATCTATCACCATTTCACACTGATGGTCATTTCTCAGGAAGAATTATCATTGTTGCAGATCATTAAATATGTAGCTTTTTTGTGGGAGGGGGACCCCAATACCAATTGAGATTTTAAATTTTAAACAGCAGATAGATGATGTGACACTGAGCCTATAGTTTTACCATTTAAAACTTTGTTTCAGAGCAAATGTTTGCGCCCTAGCTGTTATTGTGCTCCTCGAAAAACAGTTAAATCACTTCGAAGTGAACATTTTTCAAATAAATATAATGATTTTTACCTAAAATGTGACACCTTTACATAAAAAGATAAATTAGTTGAGTTTTTCTTATGTTCAAACTTGATTTAGGGTTAAATGTAGGTCATAGGCAAGCACATATTGTAAAAAAACATCTAATCTAAAGAATAATTTACCTTATAATCATTTCAAGTAATAAATTGTGGAAATCAAATTATAATTCAGATTAGCTTAACAGAAAACTGCCTTTTTGTTTGACACAACTTTCAGCTGCAGCACTGAGAAATTAAAATCTAAATCAACGAGTTGTATTTTGGATGAATCATGTCTGCCATCTAGTGTTCATTCATCATGAACTTCATCATGAAATAAAAGTTCAACTCCACCTGAATTATTAAAGATATTAATGTCAGCTTCACAGCTGTTAGGAAAGATGTTGAGGTTAATGTTCTGAAGAAACGTGCGAGTTCTCCCAATAATTATTCTCAAATTTAAAATGATAATTTCTTGTTTTGATCTACGTCTGAAACTCTGACGAGTTCCTCGGAGCGTACACAGCTGCCACAATTAATCTATATTTCAAAAATGTTATCTCATTGCTTACACAGATATATAAATATTTAGTGATGGCTCCTCAGAAATATCTCTAAGCGTGTGAATTAATGCTGTCAAAATTAACATTTTCGTATCTTTCCACCCCTCAGAATTGCCACCTCAACGTGGTGGAGGGGTTCAAGTAGCCCTGTGATCGATGGTTGATCACAAAGGTCGATGATCAATTTTGTAATGGTGTCATAAGACCTGCAGCCCTGTGTCTTGGACACTTGAGTGAAGAGAGGAGCAGAGCTGTAAACTGATACCCACCTGGTAGTAAGATGAATCCAGTGGCGTGAGAGGCTGAACAGACCTGGTAAACCCAAACGTAGCAAGGGTGAACTGGGGACGTCTGGTGGAGCCCTCTTTCCATGCAACCTTCAAAACACACTTCCGGGAGAGTTTTTCCACGAGACCCAGTTGAATCTGAATGGGTCATGTTCAGGACCTCTATTGCAGAATGTGTTGTCCAGAAGCTCAGAATAGATTTCAATAATGCATCTGTCACACTGGGCTCTTTCATAAAATAGTTCCATAATATGGTTGCACAGACCAGCCCACCTTTCTCCTCGCTTTGGTTGTTCACAGAGGTGTAGATGTCTGTGATGGTGGGGAGACTGACTCCAACAGATTTCTGTGCAGCCTTCACCACTTTCTGCAAAGCTTTTCTTTCTGCAGCAGTGCAGCCTCCATGCCACACGTTGATGCTGGAGCACAGGATGCTCTCCACTGCACACCTGTAGAAGGAGGTGAGGACTGAACTTCACTGACCAGCTCGTCTCAGCCGCCTGAGGAAGTAGAGTCTCTGATGAGCTTTCTTGATCAGGCTGGTGGTGTTGTTGCCCCAGATGAGTTTGTCATTCAGGTGCACACCCAAATACTTGTAGCTGGAGACCACTTCCACCACAGATCCTCCTATATTGGGGTTTGGGGGGAGGTGTGTTTGTTCCTTCTGAAGTCCACGGCCATCTCCTTCATCTTCTTCACATTGATGTGAAGGTTGTTCGTCTTGCACCAGCTCTCCAGGTGTTCCACCTCCTGCCTGTAGCTGGACTCACCATTGTTTGTGATGCATCCAACCACCGCTGTATCATCTGCAAACTTTACAATATGACAGCCTCGATGGGTAGCTGCACAATCATACGTGAGCAGAGTAAACAGGAGAGAGCTCAGCACACAGCCCTGAGGGGAGCCAGTGCTGAGGGTTATGGTGGAGGAGGAGTTGTTGTTGTTGATCCTCACGGACTGCAGTCTGTTTAAGAAGTCTAGGACCCAGTTGCAAATGGAGGGGCTTAGTCCTAGTTTGAGCAGTTTATCCATCAGGGTTTGGGGGATCATGGTGTTGAAGGCAGATGTGAAGTCCACAAAGAGCATACGGACGTAGGAGTCCTTCTGCTCCAGGTGGGTGAGAGCAGTGTGGACCACAGAGGAGATGACATCTTCTGTAGATCGATTCTCGCAGTATGTGTACTGGTGAGGGTCCTCGTTGATGTTGATGGTTTTTCCGATGTGGGTCATGACTAGTTTTTCAAAGCATTTAGCGACTATTGGGGTGAGGGCTACTGGCTGGTATTCATTCAGACCAGTTACAGTAGAGCTCTTTAAGACTGGGATGATGGTTTAGCTTTTAGATGTAACATTTTTAAAGCAAATTATGCCAGAGAAATTATATCACAGATGTGGCTAAAGGTTATTTTTTAAAAATATATATACAATATATAGTTTTCCTTTTGACAATGTGAACATCAAAACAATGAGACAGAGTTGGTTTTTGTTCCAAGTTCTTGTTCGTATTGTCAGCAGCCAGGGGGCAGCAGCTGCTTGATGCAAGATTCAGCAGCAACGAGTTGCTTTCTTATAAATAATTAAAAAAAAAAAAAAGTATGAGTCAATTAACACCTGATTATTACATTCAAGTGTTGTTTTATTTCTTTCTCCATGTGGTGAATGTTAAAAAGCTCCAGGGAACAACAATGAACATCTCAACAGAACATGGGTTCTACATCGCTTTACAACCTAGCTTTTCTGTTTCGTGGTTTTAAATATCATTTTCTTTTGTTTTTCTTTCATTTATTCTTCTCAGTGTACATGTTTCTTTTATGATTGTCTATTGTTGTCTTTGTTGACTACTGTTGTCATCATTCTTTGTTTAAAAAAACAGTTCTCTCTTGTAAATGAGTCCCAAAGGCTCAGTGAGACTAACCTGTATAATAAAAGTTGAATGAATGGGTCTCTGAAGGTCAAAGCCGTCTATGCTGAGTCCAACAGTGTCTCCTCCTGCTCTGGGCCAGTTGAACTGGGTCATGTTCACGGTGAGCTGTGGTCCACCTCGTCCCTCTAAACATCCTGATTTATAGGAAACGGGTGTCTTGTGTTACATCTGAACTCAGCGCAGACTGAAGCTAAAGCTAAAAGTAATTAAGTTCAGGAAGTCCAGGTTTGCTCCCTGAAATGTGACTCTAAGTTGACAGAGTAATTACATGAAGAGCACAAAGTAGCTTAACATTTAATTAATGGTCAGTTCTTCTAATAAACCCAGTTAAATCAACGTATGTCAGGAACCTCCGTGTGAATTAAGAAAATGGATGAACATAATGTTTAAAGAAACTAAGACCCACAAGGAGAACCGTTGTTTTCGACACCAAAGTAAATTCTGGTACACATATGCTTTACATTTCTTGGTAAACCTGGATCATGGTTCATATTTGGGCTCAGATTCAAGGACGGTTGATTTAAATGCAATGTGGTCTCAATTTATCACGTATTTGCCAAATATTTTGTTTTGTGATGGCTATAAAGTTAGCTTTTAAAAACCAAATCTTTGATCACAAAGTCAAATCGCTCTGATGTAAAGAAGGAAAAAAGACAAAACTGCGTCATCCCGTAGGAATTTTAATTTACTCCTGATGCAAATGAGTCTCAAACATGTAGAAACACACCACGGGTCATTTCAGCTGTGCTGAACGGTGATTTGTTTTTCAGAGAAGTTGTGTTGTTTAGTTGATCCTGACGTTGTTGTCCTTCTTTAAAGGGAACACTACAGTGAAGAACGTGTCTGGAGACACCGTTATTGGTGAGCAGACTGGCTGCGCTGTGACCTCTGTACGTTTTTATCAGAGGCTGGTAAAAATGAAATAAACACCCGATGTTCACTTTTCTTTTGCAGATGGTTCGAACAGTTTCCTGAAAGTTTCCTCTAACAGCGGAGACATTGATGCGTATGTGGGAGACGGCGGTGCTGCTGAACTCCACAGTCAGGAAGGTGAGGGAACAACTAGAACAAGCGTCACGTCATACACCACGTTTCTTCTTTTTGTACAGCTATACCTGCTGGGTGGAATGGTTTCTAACCCCTGATTGTTTGTCTTATGTAGGAGCAGTGAGTGTGCGTGTCCCGTCCTCGTTAAGAGTTGGTGTGAATCTCTGCGGAGCGTCGGTGGAGATCAGCCCGGAGGTTGTTCTGCACAGAGTGGAACACAACACCACTGATGGCTGGACCACACTTACTGGTGAGCTCTTATCTTTAATTATGATGGTTTGTAATTACAAAGTTACAAAACACCTGAGGCTCAGCACAGAACATTGTGTTTCTATTTTTAATTTCCCCTCTCAGGCTGTCTGAACGGAGAGTTTCCAGCCGACCGGTGGGTCAGAGCTCGAGCAGAACGAGGCGCCGTCAGACTGAGGACACAAAGCTGGTTCGAGTCCCTGAAACTAGGAAGCTAGAAGATGTGATCAAAGCTGTCGCTCCACCGGAGCTTTCTTTTTTATATAAACTGAATGTTTTCAGCTTGAATATACAACTCTGTTCTCAAGATGTACTTTAGTTTATTTAATGCTTTTTAAATATTCTGCAAATGTCAAATCACTGCACTGTAGATATGTCATCAACTGGGTTTATAAATATAAAGTTCTGCATTTGTTACATTTAGCTCAGACACTTTTAGTTTAAGAAATTAACAGCTTATTCATGTTTTTCTAGTTTCTATGTTTGACTGGAGGTCAAACTGGAACAACATTGTTTTCTTCTATAATGAGGCTTTAGTTAATGAAAGTCCATAATTTAAACATTGTTTCCAGTAAATATTTAAAATATTAAGCACATATCAGACACACTGTGTTCTAGTTTGTGTTCTGGTGTTTGTTGTTGTTTCTTCATGAGCAACAGATAAAAAAGATGAATTAGTTAAAAAGTGCTAAAACCAATGCAATTAAATACAAGGACCAGAAGGTAATTGAACTGGTCAGGTTAGACTTACTGGTTAATTAATTAATTTATAATTTTATAATTATTTCCATACACAGTGTTATTATGAAGGTTTGTGAGCAGATATCAGTGATGTGAAGCCAGAGGCTCTGTGTTGTACACAGTATATTGAAGTTGTCATGTTTCAAAGAAAGTCCAACAAAGTTAGGTCAGGTCATCTGGACGGTTTCTTTTTTTGTTGAGACGTTCTGTCCTTCGTCCAAAGGACTTCATCAGTCCGAAAAGCCACAACAAACTCAGTCCCACAAGCAGCACACTCACATAGTGGACCAACCAGTTTGATGGTGATAAGATGGTTTCAGGATAAGATGATCTGACTGAACTTTGTTGGATTTTTTACCTGGATTATTGAGCATGAACTTTGATGTTTTGAACCACTTTGGCATGGCTGCCTCAGAGGAGTCGACGGGGGAGAGGGTGGGCCCCAGAAACCATCTTATCACCAGAAAATTGGTTGGTCCACTATGTGAGTGTGCTGCACGAAATGTCTCAACAACAACAACAAAAAAAAAAAACGTCCAGATGACCTCACTAAATTTTGTTGGATTTTTTTAACCTGGATGAACTTTGATGTTTCAAAGAAAGTGTTTAAAGTCCAAAAAACAGCTGTTTGAGTGATGCTCTTATGTCAAAAATAGGTCCCCAATATTACAGACACTGCTTGTAGAAAATGTTGAGTTATTTACATGCACCTGCTGTGTGTGTCTGTACCGAGTGCTTCTGGACCGCCTCCCAAGCATCTTCAGTCCTGATGGATCTCGCCATTGGCAGCCGTTTTCTCTACATTGTAGACAAATCAGTGTGAAGGGTTGTCATTGCTGTACTCCCAGTATGAGGCACGTGTCTGCAACTTTAAGGCAGCCGCCCTGAGGACATACATACTCAATGTTTAAAAAATTTAAGTTCTTACAGAAGGCTTTACCTTTGCATTACTATTCTTAGTTTGGACCTTTATTACCTGGAGATCCCGCTGCAGCAAGCCATCCTGATGGAGCTGAGTGGAAGACAAATCCTTTCCAAGTATCTAAGGGAGCGATCAGTAAGGTAACTACAGCCGCTCACATCGAGCTCCCGCAGGTACAGAGATCCACTTGTCAGGTACTGCACTGCCATATCCGTCATCTGAAGCAGAACATAGAAACCTCATGGCTTTGATGGCACAATGCATTTAGCAAAATAACATTTGATGATCAATCAGCATATACGTATGTCTGTGTGAGTAAACACTGGACCTTTGGACACCCTGCCATCCGCAGCACAACCAGACCTCTGCAGTAAAATGAAAAGGCTCTCACGGCTCCATCAGACAGAGCTACACAGTGAGAAACATCAACATGTTCCAGGTCCCTCACATTTCTGCAGAACTGCTGCTCAATAAAAATAACAGAAAACAGGAGAAAGATGTGAGTGAAAATGTAATTATTAAAGTACAAGACTGTGTGGAGAAAACCAATGCAAAATGACATCAATATTTGTTCTTTTTTCATATTTTGGTTGAGAAAAAGTCAAAACTGATCCTTTCTCAGAAAGATGTTCTGTGGAAACAGTTTATTCTCTAAGCTTTTGATGATATCTACCTCTAGAAAAGGAATTAAACTCAAGCCCATTAAAAGCTCTAAACAATGAAGTACTTATACCTCTATGCCGATATCTGTGATGTATACGCACTCAGCAAGTACTATCTTCTTCAGGCAAATCCTCTCAAGTTTAGCCAGTCCCTAAAAACGTAATAACTATTAAACAAACTGTTTGCTGTGGTGACATGTTAGCTTTATTTTTTAAATGCATAAAAACTAGAAGAAATGTGCAAACAGTACCTGATCCTGGATGTTGCACCCTGTGATGTCAAGAGAGCAGATTGAACTGCCACTCAGCCACTCCAAAGCTAAGTCTGTTAGCCTCTCACAGTAACTCAAACTGAGATCATGAAGTTTGCACAACCTGACAAATGGAACGTACACAACACAAACAATGCTCCTTCATGCCGTTCACACAGGAAATAAGTGTGTACTTGTATAAATTATGTTGTTAGGATGTTAAACTGTTCAAACACAACTTTTCAGGCAAGGTTTTGGTTGGAATACATTAGATTTGTTACTGATCTACAGGAACTAAACATACATGAAAGTTGAAAGTGATACTAAATACCTTTTGGCAATTCTCTTAACAGAGATGTCAGTGATGTGGCAGCAGTGACTGACATTTAATGTCCGCAGTTTATTGGCTGAGGAGCCTTTGGTCAAGCACTCTATTCCAGAATCACTCACCCTGAAACACATTGTGTCACCAACCACAGTTATAAAAGCATCAGCTCAATATTCACAGGAGTGCACACCTGTTGCACAGCGAGATGTCCAGGTGCTGTAGATTGTTGAGGGTGGCCACAGATCTCAGGCTGGTATCGGTCATTCTCGGGCATTCTGCAGCATGAAGTCTGCTGAGGGCTTGTGAGCTGCTGCACAGGACTTCCCAGCTGAGGTCTGTGAGCTGGTTGTTACCTAAAGCACACATGAACTCACAGCTCAAAGGGAACAGTGTTCATCTTTCTCACGTTTAGGAACGTGAAAGCTGCAGGATGTAAGATGGTCTCACCTTCTATACTGAAAGCCCTTAGATCGTTTGTTTCTGCAATGGCTTTAAGAGCAACGTCAGAAAGATGGGGGGCGTCCAACAAGGAGAGAGTGGAAAGACAGCAACATCTGGTGAGTAGAGCCTGTCGGAGCAAAAAAAATATGAAAACCAATCTGATGCAAGAGGTTAAAAATACCCATGAAGTGACATCAGGAATGTTTAGTAAATGAACTCTCTTACCAAAACGCAGCTATCTGACAGAGTGGGCATGTCGTTGATCACAACCTGTCTGAGTGAAGGGCATCCAGCAGAAATGTACCTGAACCCATTTACTGTCATCTGAGAGGAAATACACAAGAACCTGTGTTGACATGTGAATCACACTCCTGACTCCCCTTTTCCTCATTTTTTTACATTTACAATGCCCCATTAAACCAAACTGTACATCTGGAGCCAAAATAGTTCTCCCCACAAAGGAAAGAGTGTGTTATAATGTGGTGAGTGTGTTATGTTACACAGTGTACAAATGCTGAGTGGGTGGGTATGGGCCAGAGGTGACGAATAAACCCAACCCTCCACTTGGCCACAGCTGTTTTTGCTTTCCCAGAACGTGAAATATTTCTCCCTTCGCCCTGAGCTCAATCTGACGCACACAGGAGTAAAGACTGAAACAAGAACAGACACGTGCAAACAGAGAGGAGCCATTTGCCCAAAATACACCCGGAAGACAAAAAGCTGTGTTCAGTCTGAGAGAAGCGGAGTGGAGAGACTATTTACCAACTGAGAGGACCACAAGAACCAACCTGAGTGCAGCCGGACAGGTCGAGGTGGAGGAGATTGCGGCCGGCCGTTCCTGTGGTCAGGTACAGAAACCCTTTATCTGTAAATCTGCAGCAGTAGGCCAGACTCAGATACTGAAGTCTGACACAGCTCCTGTTTAGAAAAATAATTTTATACAAGAGCATTTCAGTTTAGCATGTTGCTGTTAGTGTTATGATGTAAAGTCTTGATTTAATGTTCAAATCGAGCAACACAGCTATTATAAAATTCCAGCTGTTACAAAAGCAGCATCTGTTCCTCTTAATCATTAGGCTGAAACTGATCACTAATCAGAGCTCAGATGTTCCATCCATCCATCCATCCATCCATTATCTTTACCCGCTTCTTCCTTTTCATGTAAATAAAACGAGCTAGAAAAAGGTTGAAATTGGAAAAACAAGAGCCGACAGCTGGAGAGAAGAGGCATAAACTCTGAAGTTATTTATCTCTTTGCAGCAGCAGAACTTGAACACAGATGGGTTTTACCACAGCTATAGGTTCACCTGGATATTTCTTTTAGAGTGGTGTTTGTGATGAGGGTGCACGAAAGGTTCAAGTAGAGCAGGCAAGGGCAGCCCTGGATAATCCTCTGAACCACCGTGTCCTGTTGGAGAGCAAATTCTAGATGTTACAATTTCTCTGAGGGAGGTGTCCGATGCAAATTTAACTACTTTTTTAATGTTTTCAAAGAAAAAAATACTTGATGAAACAGCAGAAGACTGAAACAAAATAAAATCTCAATGCATTCTTCAAAGTTTATGCTCAATAATCCATGTAAAAATTCCAGCAAAGTTAAGTCAGGTCCTCTGGATGGTTTCTTTATGTTGAAATATTTTGTCTTTCATCCAAAAGACTTCATCAGTCCAAAGAGCCACAACAAACTCAGTCCCATAAGTAGCACATTCACATAGTGGGACAACCAGTTTGATGGTGATAAGATCAAGGTCAAGGTCAAGGTCAAGTATCTTTATTGTCATTCACATCACAAGTGGTACATGAGGTGGAATGAAATTGTGTACTCAAGGTCCCAGCTACACCCAAAATAGCAAAAATATAAAAGTAGAAAAAGAAGTATATAAGGATTTAAGATATACACTAAGATATTCAATAAACAAACGCCAAACAATACGCTAAAAGATCTAAGATATATGCTAAACACTAATAATGTAAAATAATACGGTATATTAAACAGCAGCCCGAACATGAGTCTGTGGTGAGTTGATGTGTATGAATGAATTCAGCAGCATGAGATAGACAGCAGCATGAGATCAGCAGCATGGATAATCAGCAGCACAGATGTCACATATCACCAAAGTGGCATTAGAGTGATTTTCTTTTGTTCTTGCAGTGATCATCCTGCAGAGATTTATGAGTCTAAAAGCTTCAGGGTAGAAGCTGTTCCTCAGTCTGGTTCTGCACTTAATGCTCCTCAACCTCCTTCCTGAGGGAAGCGGGGAAAAAAGTGTGTGCTGGGTGAGTGGGGTCCTTCATGATGCAGGTGGCCCTCTTCCTGCATCTGGAGGTGTAGATGTCTGTGATGGTGGTGAGACTGACTCCAACAGTCTTCTGTGCAGCCTTCACCACTCTCTGCAAAGCTTTTCTTTCTGCAGCTGTGCAGCCTCCATGCCACACGTTGATGCTGGAGCACAGGATGCTCTCCACTGCACACCTGTAGAAAGAGGTGAGGACTGAGCTTCCCAGACCAGCTCGTCTCAGCCGTCTGAGGAAGTAGAGTCTCTGATGAGCTTTCTTGATCAGACTGGTAGTGTTGTTGACCCAGCTGAGGTTGTCATTCAGGTGCACACCCAAGTACTTGCAACTGGAGACCACCGCAGATCCTGCTGTTCAGTGGTGTGTGTGTGCATGTGTGTGTGTGTGTGTGTGTGTGTATGGGGAGGGGGGGGGGGGGGTTGTTCTTTCTGAAATCCTTCTGAAATCTGAAATCCAAAGATGGTTTCTGGATTCTACCCTCTCCCCTGTCGACTCGACTAAGGCAGCCACTGCCAAAACATCAAAGTTCATGCTCAATAATCCAGGTACTAAATCCAACTAAGTTAAGTCTGGCTGGCCCACTATGTGAATGTGCTACTTATGGGACTGAGTTTGTTGTGGCTCCTTGGACTGATGAAGTCCTTTGGATGAAAGACAAAATGATTCAACATAAAGAAACCGTCCAGAGGATCTGACTTAATGTTGTTGGGCTCCATGCATCCTGTTAGCGTGATAATCTATTTTATAATATGTGCTGGAAATAAAGCAACACAACTGACAGGTCAGTTGCTAAAACGTGCACATATCATAAAAAGACGAGGATTATCTTCACACTTCATGTTACTCACCGTAACACTGTCGCACTCTGACACGTTGAGCTCCTGCAGATTTCTGCATTCACCTCATGAAACAAAAAGAAAAACACTTTTTAATCTATGCTGACAACTTTTGGAAATACTCTTGAATAATTATACTATATTTTAACTGTAATGTAATAAAATAATAATAATAAATGAAACCAGTGCAGAGTGTATGATATCTTTGTCCGATTCTCGTTTCCTACGATGTTCTTCTTTTAAACAGCAGCTTTATTTCTTTTAAAATAACACAGCTGCCCTTGTGACCTTTTTATTTCAGTTTCCCAGCCGGAGGACTTTGATCTCTGCTCACTGCTGGAAAGAAAACCCGTGCAGGGCTCAGGATGCGTCTGATCCTTTTCCTGTACTCAGCCTCTCTGCTCCTCCTGCTGCTTCCAGTCACTGAGATGAAAAAACCCGGGAAGGGCAGAGGTCTTAAAAAGGCGAGACAGAAACTTTCACAGGACAGGTATGGATTTGTTCTGGGTGATAATCTGTAGAATCCATCATTCAAAGACTCCACTGACTGTCTACATTTCTTTGTGTTTTAAAAGACTTAGGGTAAGAGGTCTTAGGCGCCAGAGCAGATCAGGACCCTCCAGGTTTGTGACACCAAACTGTTTGGAGCTGTCAGAGTCTGGAGAAGACTTTGTGGATTGTCAGGATCGACATCTCACCTCCATCCCCACCTCAAACACCTGGTCCAGAGAACCCAAATTCCTCCTTCTTGCCCGAAACCAAATTAAAGTCCTCCATGATGGAGCCTTCTTAGGTTACGATAGTTTAATCAGTCTGGACCTCCAACAGAATCAGATCTCTCTTTTGGAGGAAGGAGCGTTTGACGGCTTAACACAACTTACAACCCTTCTACTGCAACACAACCGACTGACTACACTCAGTGAAGAAGCTCTGATCCCCATGCCAAACCTTCGCTACCTGCGTTTACATAATAATCCCTGGAAATGTCTCTGTGTAATGGAAAGTCTCGTACGTACTCTTCAAGTGCCCAGCAACCGAAACCTTGGAAATCATGCCAGGTAAGCGATTTCAGACATTTACCAGGAGTATAAGTCACGTTTGAATCTCTTGAGTCAGCACTGGTTTCTAAGAACTTCTCCTCTGCTAGGTGTGCAGAACCCACCCATCTAAAAAACAAGAAGTTGAAGAATATTGATCCTGAATCACTTTGCAAAGATATAGAATCCACTGGTGACCCAAACAACAACCTAACCATCTCTATCGAGCCCAGTCCAATCCGCACCAAATCAGATGCTACAATGCTCTGCCATACCTACGTCTTCCCAAAGAGATGGATGGACTGCAGAAACCGAGGCAAGTCCACAATCAGCATATTTTTAAAGATCGGTTTGATTAACGGGTTCCTACCCTGAGATCCAAAGTATTTCGATTAATTACTCACACATGGGTTTACGTAACCGAGGCGTCAAACTGTCAATGATTCATTATTACTGCTGGATCGCCAAACATTTTCATGGTGAGACACTCCATGAATCAATGCACATCTGGTTTGCCATGTGTTTTTATTTAGTGTTACTGTATATTGCTTGGTCCATTAACTCTGAATATGTATTTTACATATGAACAACAGCTTAATTGGGGTTTGTGTGTCAGAATAAAAGCATTAATATTTTCCTAATAAATAGACTAAATTAAGTTACATGCATCTACAATTTACATCAAACTGACGGCAGGCTTACATTATATGAAGCTTCAGTCAGTATTTTTAACTAATTATTTTGCTAGTGACCCAAGTTTAAGTAGTACACCTTAAAAACATTTATCCTATTTTTCCAAGATTTACTTTAACCCAATGTAGTTGTTCAAGATACCATCTTTTGTATCTTCAGGTCTAACTCAGGTACCCTCAGGAATTCCAGAGGATGTTGTTCAAGTTGACCTGTCCCATAATTCAATCAGTCATCTCAAACCAAGAGATTTCCAAGGAGCAAGGAGCCTCAGAATCCTCAACCTCAGCAGCAACAACATGGAGCACTTAGACACAGGTGGGCATTATCAAACCAGCACACATATTTATTCTTATTAGTGAATATAAAACAACTTACAACACTTAATGGTCATTTGTATTGTAGAACATGGGCACCTACCCATACACTTACTGTATATTTGTCTTTTTATGACCGACAACATATGGAGGGTCACAGAGTTAGGAACAGTTATACAACAGCTCCTGTTTCTCACGTTTCCTTTTCAGACATAGAAGGCATTCAGCAATCTTTGTGTTTGCAGATATAGCTTCATATATGATGGGGACTGCTGAGAGAGTTGCAGATATAAAGTACCATAAGCAATGCCTTCAAATGAATCAAACATCTTTTTGTGACCAAAACCCAATCAACCTGATCTGTTGTATTTAGTCTTTTTTCAGCTGGATTGAAAAACTAGATTTTACATGTCCTTGCTGACAGTAATGAGCAACAGGTTTGTTCACATGTGCATTTAATGAAAGATGGAAGAAACAAATAAGTTGTACAGAAAATCAACATCTCAACTTTCTTTCTCTCAGCATCCCTGTCTGGGCTTTTGCATCTTCATGAGCTGGATTTGTCAGACAACAAACTGAGTTCTGTTCAGTATGGGGTTCTTGAAGATCTTTACTTCCTGTCACAGCTAAAACTAGGAGGAAATCCTTGGGTCTGTGACTACAAGTGAGTTCTTATGTCTGAGTACCTGCAAAACCTTCCTTGGACGTGAACAATTACTAAAAGCTTACTTTTTATCTTCAGCATCCACTACATGGTTTACTGGTTACGTCTGCACCCAGGAGTGAAGTACTCCGGACTGCTGTGTCACTCTCCTCTGGAATACTCAGGTGAGAGTGTGCAGGAGTATGTGCACTCCTACAACAGAGAGTGTCCCAAGGACAAACAGCTCAGCAGACCCAATCAAGACCAAACAGACCCCGAGCTTTGGGAGACAGCGATGGAATTACAGGGAGAGGTGGAGGAGGAGCTGGAGCCGAGCCACTTGAGAGCACCACAGAAATATCAGATCATCAGGCTGTCATGACTCAAGTGAAAACATGCCCCAATATTTGGATATAATAAGACTCTTTCTTAAGTTTCATTTAAACATGTAAAATAGTCTGTATCATACTAAAAAGTTGGCAGCACGGTGGCGCAACTGGTAGAGCTGCTGCCTCTCAGTGAGCAGGTCCCTGGTTCAAACCCCGGTCCAGGGGCCTTTCTGGGTGGAGTTTGCATGTTCTCTCCGTGCATGCGTGGGTTTTCTCCGGGTATTCCGGTTTCCTCCCACAGTCCAAAAACATGCATGTTAGGCTGATTGGTAACTCTAAATTGTCCCTAGGTGTGAGTGAGAGAGTGAATGGTTGTTTGTCTCGTTTGTCTCTGTGTGGACCTGTGATGGACTTGCGACCTGTCCAGGGTGTACCCTGCCCCTCGCACAGTGATTGCTGGACATGGGCACCAGCGACCCCCGTGACCCAAAATGGAATAAGCGGGTAAAGAAAATGGATGGATGGATGGATGGATGGATACTGAAAAGTTACTTTTTGTTGTTTTAGGTTTAGTCAAGAGTGCCTCTGTACTGAAAATATATAAGGAATGTCATTGTGATTGGCTGGATTTATTTTTTGTGTTAAATATGATCAGATTTGGGTCCTGCACACCTGGGTTCAACATAAAAAGTACATCTGAAACACTTAAAATTATCAAAACAAGTAATATAATCAGAAAAAAAAAAAACCCTCACTGATGCATTTCAGGCTGGGCCAATTTAAAGATGTGCAGCCACGCAGGTTGAGATGGATCACAAACGGGCGGTAGTTCTGCAGAATTTGCTTCACTGTATCGTCGGTTATCCAGGCTTTCTCTACTGAAACATTGATCTAACAAGGACAAAAATATTTTAGTGCTTACGTCTCACAATAATGTAAAGAATTAAAAACAAGTAGGAGTTTCTTCGAACAAACCTGACTCCACAATGTGCCTGACCGGATGATGGATTTCCATGCATAAGACACTTCAGAACAGTTTAGCCAGTCTCTCAAGTCTAAATATTGAAATATCTGGAGCGGGGGGTTGACGCATACAGCATCAATAAAAGACAACAAGAACAAAAGATGGTGAGATAAATCTAGTCTAAAACTATTTTAAAAAAATCAAGCTAACATTTAATCCTAAAGGTCTCATTTTACAAAATAAGCTGCTGGCATCTACACTGTGTTCACTGCCACCTCTGCCACTTTTTAAGGTAGCATAATGTGGACAAGCAGCCCGTCTCTGTTTCCAAACATAGTCATGTTAAAGAACTATTTATCAGGAGAAGTGTTTTACAGAAACACTGGGCAAAGAGAGCCAACACTGCTCTCACTTGGCCAGCAGATATAAATCCTAAACTAACACACTCGACAGCTTGGAAGTGCAAACAGAGTCAATAATAGCACTAGTTAAAAGTTATTTTACAGCTGCATGAGCAACACACACACTGCTGACAGATATAGGTTTAATATACACTTATGAAAACCAAAAATGCTGGAACTGACTTTCATCAAATACGAGACTGAATGTATGTTTACAAAGGACTTCATTTAAAGTCTTATGTAACAGATATGATCTCATCGCAGAGTGTTCAGAGGTCTGCTGCAGCTTTAAAAAATGACTGTCACCTCACTGAATGCAAGTTAAATCAGGTTTACCAGCTATGAAAAAAAACAAAACATGGATGAGTTACCTTCAGTGAGAGGTTTTCAGGGAGTGCTGAGAGTCCATCAAATCTCTCACCAATGTGATGATCCCTATTGTTGATTTCAGCTAAACTAGTTTCCAACCTCTGGAATATTCATATAAAAACACAAGCTTTAAAAAAATCAGAATAAATTTACAATCATTTGATCAAAGTCACAAATGTTATTATACCTTAAAGTACTCTTTTGCCCTTTTTGAGTCCTTTGCAACAATATGCCATGCAGCTATGATGCGCTTCAGGCGGCGGGTGTTTACCAGAGTCTCAAGTTTGCCAACAACAGCTAAAAATGCAAGTAAAATCAAATAAATACATGTGAATCTCCAGTTAAATCACCTAATGACAGAAAAAGCCATGGGGTCAGTCACAACATAATCACAAATCAAGTTAGCCTGGACTGATCCCAAGACTGTAAAAGCAAAGTCAACACAGCGAGATGGTGCACAAGGACAAAATGAGTCACTGAACTGGAAACAGTCAACAGAGAAGAAATGATTGTCTGGAAAGTTTAGATACATTACTTAACTGCAGCAAAGTTTTCCCTGGCTCCGTCCTTTAGAGTGAGACAGCTTGCATAAACCAATTCAAAAACAATATCCATCATAATCTTTTCCACATAGAAATGATTTTCACCTACCAATCTTTGCCCTCTTGTTTAATTTGACCCAAATCAACCATTTGGTGAACACAATGTGTTGACATTTCTTCTCAAAGTGCCTCTCTGCCATGTCCATCCTCTGAACCAGCTCTATGGCATCTCTTTTTCTTTGCACGATGAACATTTTCCACTTCCTGTCACCCAACAGTAAGCACGGCTCATCATTAATTCAGTGAACAGGTATGCAGGGAGGCTGGGAGGGGTCTGCAGTAATTCAACTGTATAAGATCCAGTGACATCTAACAGCAGATGCCGATTAAATCTAATAAATATATTTTCAAAGCCTTTTCACTTTTACACTTTTTTAACCGAAGCATTAGAGGATGTTTCAGAGAAGAGGGTGACTGTCAGCACCAGCAGTAAACAGGTAAAAGGTATCCAGAGAAATAGGATATCCTACTGAGCTTGCTATCAGGCTGAAAATGATACAATAGAAAGTTCTGAAGCCCACCAACACTTCAGGATGTCCAAGAAAGACAAAGTCACAGAAAAAGAAGAAAATCAAAGTGCAGCGCTCCAAATACCTGCAGCACCTGCAACTAATTAGATTGCCACACAACCAGCTGCAGTTTCAGTCAGACGGCTGCAGTGGTCTCTGCTGGAGGACTCTCATGGCTCTTTCATTTGGGTATAATATCACATTATTTTAATTCCACCTTCATTTGTCTTGTTACTTTCCTGCTATTTAAACTTACCTACGTTTTAGATCCTCCTGGCTATGCATGCTGTTATGGGGCTCCATTTGTTTTGCTGCAGAAACCGGTAGGTAGTTTTTAAATGCATTGGAAAAAAAATAACATCAGCTAAATGCACTTTTTATTTGCTGATAGGTTACAACACCGCATATGGATACTACCTTTACAAAAGTCCACAAACTTCTACTCAGTTAACTCCTGGAAAATACTTGAACCCAAACCATGAGGATGAAACAAATGTTTTAAGGGAACAAAACTTTGTTTCACTGCAAACAGAGCCCACTTCTTTTGGAAACAGGCAGTATCTCAATCCTAGTTTCAGAGAAAAGATGGTGCATAATGACATTTTTGTGAATTTTCTTAAAAATAGGCATCTTCAGAAAAACTACAAGCAGCCAAAGAAGACACTGGTTTCCTCTGGATTGTTTCATGATGGTTCTTTCACCAGTCAAAAACCTGAATCTCTTGTTCTTTCAAACAGACCGTCTCAAAACTTTGTCTACTTTTCACGGAAGGCACCCATACTTGTACCTTTACCTGCTAAGACGTATGTCAAACAGCCAAAATATGTGTATCGCAGAAACAATTTCCAAGCAGCTAATAAAACACCAGTATTTGGATGCGACGACAATAATAGCCTCTGTAGAGTGACAAAAGCTGCCTCTTTACAAAAATCACCATCTTTGAATTACTTTGTACCAAGAAATCATATATACGTCCCAAATTATGAAGCCAAACACAGGAAGAAAATGGCAAAATCATTTCTTGCATACCTGTCGAGCATTGACAAAAAATCTAACGACGATTATACTCCTACTGTCCAAAGGTCTGCATTTGTTAAATCTGTTTCAAACTTAAACAATCTTTTGCCACAAAAGGAAAAGCATAAGTATTTTCGATCAGATGTTCCATATAAACCTCAAAGGGAGCTGGATGAATCCAAGCTGGTGTTTAATGTGAAACCTTCTCCACGTGGCTCCAGCAGACATTCCACCTCTTCAAGATACCAAAAGTTTGATGTTGATCCTTTCACAAAGACTACTCATTCAGAAAGCACTGGAAAATCACACCTCTACAACCAAAATCTACCTTCTGCCCTTCAAATTGTGAATTCAAAATATAGCCGCCAAGACGCACCCGTGAAAGAAAACCCATCTCAGGGGGCTAGAAAAAGACTGAACTCCGTTTCAGCTCAAGACAGATTCCTGCTTCTAAATGGTGGATTTAAGGATGCAATAAAAGCTGGCCTCCTAAAGTCTTTCAAGCAGCCAGACGGCTTTCACACGTTTTCAGCCAACGTGAAAAAGGGTCCCACAAATGTTGCATCTTGGTCTTCAGAATTGTCTGAACCCAGAGGTTCCGATTTAAACTGTGTAATTTGGAAGAACACACCCAATTCTCCATTCAAAAGGTCCCAAAAGTCATCACGACCCACTAAAAAAAGATACATCAAGTCTAAAAACCACACAGAAGGAGCTACAGCTTTTCTGTCAAAGAACTGTTATTTTCCAACTTGGCGAGTTCAAGATAAGGCTGCTAATCACTAACACAAACTTGCTACAAGATGGAGAGCATAAACCGCCACATGATGCAAAATTCTTTAACAAAAGGTAAAGAAACTACCGGTACATGTCAAGTGACTGCAACTGAGAGTATTTATTTTAGAAGATACTAAGTTGTGCTTTTGATTTGAATTCTTAACCTTGTTTATTTTTTTACTCTGTTTCAGTAGGATCTGTTTCCAGCTACAAATGAAGTCTTTGATCAAGTGTTTGACACTCCCCAGTAATCAAATAGTTTTTACTCATCTTGCTACACACATCTAATTGTCTGCTAAAATGAATTGTTGCAAATATCAAAAGCAGTAAACTTGCTTAAAAGCTAAAAAGCTGTTGTTTTTTTGTTCTTGAACACAAAACCACAAACCTACCTGAAACACAAGCTTGTTAATTTCTTTCTGTAAAAGGAAACCGTCTTGGCAAACAGATGAAAAGACTCCTGTAATCAGTTGACGAATATTAAAGCACTTACTATACATTCGAGTTGATATATATATCTCTCAAACCAAGGGTTTACAGATTGTAAATAGTGCTTCACCATGTTGTCATACTGGTCCATATCATCCTTGGTTGAGGAGAGCGGCTGTAATTTGCTCTTCTGTCTCCATAAACTCTGCCCTGAGTTTTAAGGAGGTTGATGAAGTGTGCTGGTCAATATCAGCAAAAAACTTTTGCCTGGGGGGAATAAAAAGTAGCATTACAGTAAACTTGATTATTTCATAATGACTTCTATATTAGATACCTAAATGCATAAAACTGTGGCTGTGCATTGCATTAAATTGTCACTAAAATTAGCTATCTCTGCAGTAATTGAAGCGATGCAGTCTAAAGATATGCAATACATGCATTTTTAGTTTATTAATTATAAAGGGGAGAAGTAAACAAAAACTAACTGAACCAGATTTGATGGCTGTAATCGAGCGTTTAGTCAAATGTTGGAAAAGTGAGCCACCATGCGTTTGTCGGGGGTACATACCAGTCGACAGCCTGAAGATTAGCATGTCCCTGGAAAGCGAAGAGGGCGTTTTTCAGAAACTGTATTGGGTCACATGGACATGCCAGACATGAAGCTGTCAATAAGGTCTGTTAAAATAAACAAGTAATAACGTAATTTAATGTAAATAACGACTGGAGATGAACTTGGCTCAACCTATTCACGTATCCTACCTTGTATAATCCTTGTGGCAAGCAATGATTGAATTCACATATTTTTAGAGATCGTTCAGTGTTTTCCACAGCCATATTTTGTCTGCTTGTTCTTTTGAAAACACTACAGACTTGAACTATCAGCCTCTATATTATATTGAGTAGATTTCCCCCCCTTTTTTTCCCGTACTTTGGAATTCACCGTTGCTAGGTAACGAATCGGTTAAAACTGGAGCGACAATAAATGTTGGACAACCAATGCGTGTCGTAGCAGCACAAAATTAGGACTGTACGGTAACTGATATTCAACCACCATCTTTTTAATTAAAACGAATATAATTTTTTTTACATTTTAAATAAGCATATCTATTTTAAAACTAAAGGACGGTTTAGCAATTAAAACTATAATTAGAAGCTTGGGAAAGTCACTCGGCGATAGATTTTGTTGGCCACTTTAAATCTAGTTCATAACACTAACTGAGCTAATCCGTAGCAACTGTGGCTTTTCAGCAAAGTTGCTGTTTCCAACGATGCAAATATTTAAGTCGTTTCAAGGCTGTATTAGCATTATGTTTCGAGCGTTAGCCAACTAACGAGCTGTGCTAGTTTATTAAGGTGACTGATTTGACTCGAATCGTCTTGGAGCATCGGCGGCTAACAAGAGTTAGCAAATAAACATGGGTGATGGCAGTGTTGTTCCAAGGTTCGGAAACATGAAGGCTTTGCTTGGATTAATTGCTGGAGCTGGAGCTTCCTATGGCCTGTATAAACTTATCAGCGGGCAACGTTTCAAGAAAAACAAGAAAAGCACCCCCAGTGAAAGTCCTGGTGTAAAAAGCAGCCAGCCGGACGAAGTTCAGCTCCAACCAGGCAGCCTGCTAGCCAGAGTGTCCGGGCTGAATGTAATCTGTCCCCAGTCAGGAGATGCTGCATCAGGTAAGTATCAAAAAATCAATAATGCTGATAGACTGTACAGTAACTGCATTAGGGAGTTCACTGCTAAGTTTATTTATTCGCCCAGTAAATGAATGCATCTATACAAGAACACTCGTATTTTTCTTCACTTAAAGTTTAAAACAGTTTGTTCCCTTTATTCAAAGTATATTAAAAGAAAGATTGATAACATGTTTTGTCTTCCATAGGCGGGATCATCCACCAGTCTCCTAGTAATCTGGAGCCACAACACTTCAAGATGTTGCTGTCATGTCTGCAGGACTCTGATGATCCAACTCAGAGGTGTAGGGTTCTTCGTACATTGGGAAATGCTGCTGCTTTCACTGTAAATCAGGTACAGATTTACCTTCTCTACAGACCAGAGACAGATAGTTTTGTTCCTCAGAATTCTGAGGCTTTTATGCTGAGGTGAGTTTTGATATTTTTGTATTTAGGAGCAATAACTTTGACATAGTTGTGAAGTGTCTTCATGCTTTCGCTTGTTTTGAACATATAAGTGCATGAACCCATACATGTGTACCAGTATAGTTTGAAGTGAATGTACTCAGTCAGTTAAACCTACGATCACCTGTTTTTGAACTGGAAACATTGTTTTTACATCTCCGGATTCAAGAACTGAGTCGGAGTTGCATTTCTACTTACTTTTAGGATACTTTTTTTTTGGTCACAGCTATGTTAAATATCTAAGTTACCTTTCTATAACTTATGACTCTGTTTGAATTTTATCTTTGGGTTGATTTTTTTTTTGTTTGTTTTTCTCTCTCTGCTACGTTGATCTTGTAGAATCTAATTCGGGAATTGGAAGGGCTTCACATCATAGCTCATTTCCTTTCTGATCCTGCAGCAGAGGTTAGAGTGCAGACCCTGAATGCTTTAAATAATTTGTGTATGAACATCCAAAACCAGGAACAAATAAAGGTGTGTAAATGTAACAGTCAAAATGTTATGGGTTGATGTTTTGCTCTTGTGTTTACATATTGTTTGCACAAGACACATTTTAATTTTAATTTAATAACTGATTTTGTTGTTCTTGATAGCTTTACGTGCCACAAGTGCTGGAACTGATTGAAATGTCCCCGGTGAATTCAGACCTTCAGCTTGGTGCTCTGCGGCTGCTGACAAACCTTTCAGTCACAGACAAGCACCAGCATTTACTGAAAGAATCCATTACACTTTTTCTGTCTCTTCTGGTTGTGAGCAGTGAAGCGCTGCAGGTTTGTATTTAGCTGAGCTGTTATCTTACACAATTAAAAGCAACTTGTTTAACTTGTAAAACATGATTCTTAACAGATGTGAAATAACACAATGTGGATACATCTCTGGAAAAACTAATGGAAAACTAAAAGGATCCGGTGAATCATACCTAAAGTTCTTGTGATGTTTTTGCTCCAGGTTCAGACATTGAGAGTCCTTGTGAATTTGTCATCTAATCCAGATATGGTGGATGAAATAGTTCAAGCTCAGGTAAAGAAGCAGAAAATTATTTTTCTTATCGTTCTTATGCATATCCACTAGACTAGTTTACATGTTTTTTTATTTAACACAAACAATATGGTGGTCTAACGTTGTGTTAACAAGTAATCCCAACAGACTCCTGTTTGTGCTTAATTTGATTTGTGCTTTTCGCTCCAGGCACCGGCTTCTGTTCTGCTGCTGTTTGACAAACGAACAGCCCCTGCCGTGCTGCTGCGACTGCTTACATTTGTAGGGAACTTGAAGGCCTGGAGACCCTCTGAACAGGTGGCTGATGAACTGCGGCAGAAACAGGACAGCCTCTTCAAGGTCATGCTGGATGATTCTTCTCAGCTCAACAACAAACTTGTCCAGCTGCTTTCACATCCTGACGGGGAGATTCAGGCCCAAGTAGCTCGTATTTTGACATAGGACCTCCCCTTTGTGATCTTCATAAAAAACACTTCCCTCCACCCCATTTTCCATAGGCACCAACTTACCAATGTGTTTAAGTTTTGAGTTAAACACCTTTTAAGATTAATCCTGTAGAAGTTCAGGCAACGTTGCCTCCTGTGGATATTCAGCAACATCCTCCACAGGATGAACAATAAAAACTAACTCAGTTCTCCTCTTCAGACACTCCATGTTTCTCAGCATCTTACACTGCAATGCATTAGTAAGTGATGAGTAAGCTGGAGCAGGATGACTCCATTTTTGTGTGGGTGTCAAAACAGCCAATCTCTCTTTTTTTCTCCATCCTGCTGAGTTTTTATCACCAAATGCTTTTTTTAAATCCACAGTACAGTGTCTTCTAAGAACTTCAACTTAATTCACTGGAAACATATTTCAGATAATTTTCTAAATCTAACCCCACTGCCAAAAGTTTCCATTGATATGTTTTAACATGCAAGAGACTGCATGGATGAACTACAAGAGCCAATACTCTAATGTATTATGTTTTGGAATTTAAAGATATGTCTTTTTCTAAATGAATACCTTTTTATTTTGTATATAATTTAAAGTAAAGCTCTGAGGGCTTCTCCCTCTAAACACTACACAACTGAGGTGTTTAGTGAATCAAGACTTTAGAGTTCAGTAAATGTCTCTGGGTTATTGTAAAGCGAAATGAGTGTCTGTGTGTTATACTGCTTGGCTGGTCTTTATTTTATTTTATGTTTATTTTATTATGAACCACAATCTATCCTAAACGTTTCAATGCAGGATTTGCTCATGATGTTGAAAACCACAGCAGCTAGGTCCTGCAAAACCCTCCACAAAAAGAAAATAACGTGGACGTTTGGGCTGCTGTAATCTACAACTCCCACAAGATCAAGCAGATGTGAATTGAATTAAAATGTGGGATTGAAAATCTGCATAGAAAAGATGGCCATGATTGTTATATGCCATGTTTAGTTATTTAATGACCTCTGTGATGAATGTGAAATGCAGGCATTGATGCCCTAAAAATATATGCACCTGTAATGCAACAAGCGATGGAGCCGTCTGATGTGCAGCTGCTGGGCTGAAGCTGTGGATCTGTATACATTTACAAAGTATTTGCAGAAGGGAGTGAAAGTATGACTAGATGTAGGGGTAAAGAAATGCTGCACGTTCTGTGTTTGGACACCTGTTTTTTTTTTTGTTTGTTTTTTTTAGTTAAATATGTCTCGGGCAATAAAGATTTACCAAAATATGTATGGACGAATGCTTATGGACATATGACCTAGTTAATTATTTTTTATCAAAATGTTTAGTATATTTTTTCTTTTTGAATTGTTTAATAAATGCAAGACACTGGTGTGTGTTTTTTTTTTATCAAGTTTTGATATTTTATTTTCCTTTATTCAGTATGACTAAATGACTTGTAATGACTGGACGTAAAAGCAATTTAAACGGTAGTTGCTTTTGTTCATTACAGTTTTTAATAAGTGGCTTGTTTTAACCAAGAAAATTGATACTTTTTATTTGTTCGTTACATTAATTATTTTGTTAAAATGAGTATATACATTGTTGCATCCATAAACAAAAAGTTTTGAGGTATAAAATGACTAGTTAATCTGATCATTTTTGTCCAGGCACAAAATAAAAACAATTTATTAATTTCCCAAAAGTTAAATTACTCGGTCATTTTGAGTTTTAAAACATTGCCTCCTCATCTCACACACTGCTCTGCATGCTGCTTTAACATTACTAATAAAGATTTAGAAAACTGAACATTAAGGTACATGTATCAAAAATGTCTCTCATGCTCTCATTTGTTTCAGTCAGACGTCGAAACTAGACGTCTTTTAGACTTCGAAAAAAAGACTTCTATTAACATGTCGGATAGACGTCTTTTAGACGTCGGGGGGGAAAAGACGTCTATATTAACATGTCGGATAGACGTCTTTTAGACGTCGGGGGAAAAGACGTCTATATTAACATGTCAGATAGACGTCGGGTCAGACGTCAGATAGACGTCGAAAAAAGACGTCTATATTAACATGTCGGATAGACGTCTTTTAGACGTCGGGGGAAAAGACGTCTATATTAACATGTCAGATAGACGTCTTTTAGACGTCGGGGAAAAATACGTCTATATTAACATGTCTGATAGACGTCTTTTAGACGTCGGGGGAAAAGACGTCCATATTAACATGTCAGATAGACGTCTTTTAGACGCCGGGGAAAAATAC